CCGCGGGGGAAGACCAACTCCAAGAAGGAGAACAAGCGAGATGCGGCCACCAACGCCTTGATCGCAAGCGTGGAAGGCATGATGAATAAGAAGGGCTCAAGGGAGGAGGAGCGCCGACGTTTCAAGGCGGAGCAAATGGATGCTTTCATGGAGATCCAAAGGAGGAGGCTTGATCTTGACGCCGAGAAGCAAGCCAAGATGTTCGAGCTCGAGGCGGAGAAGCAAGCCAAGATGCTAGAGATCGAGGCCGCCAACGCCAAGACCAAGGCGAAAGAAGTGGCTCTTGCGAGCATGATGGCTGAGGTGGAGATCATGAAGATGGATCTCAACACCGTGTCGCCAAGGAAGAGGTCGTGGTTCGAGAAGATGCAGGCCGACATGCTCAAGTTCGACGACGAGTGATCTATGGCGGCGAGGGCCATCTTTTTTGTGTGCCGGCAGGTGCCGGCATGACCACGGGAGCCGCGATGGCGTGGTCGAACTCAAGTCCCACCCTTTTTTTGTGTGTTGGCATGTGCGCCGGCCGGCTGACGAGTGCGCCAGTATGAACTGTGGTGATATTTTCTGAAGCCGACATTGTATACCGGCGCCGGTATGATGCGGGCATGAGACATGGCCGCTGGCATGATCAGCCGCGGGCCTTTTTTATTTAAAAGTTGAATGCGGGTATGAAATTTTCCCAACACGTCAACCCAAATGTAAAACTGGACAGACGGTCGACCCAAACGGACAAAAAACGAATAAATACACCGTCTGCTTGGGTCGGCCCTAACTCATACACATGTTAAGAAGCCGGTGACAACATATGAACAGTTTAAGTGGCAGTGGACCACCAAAATTTCGCCAGCAGTACATCACTACCCTCTCGCTCCCCTGCCAAATTCGAATTGCGTTGCGCTACGCTTGTCTTTTTTTTTTTTGAAGTTCGTTGCGCTACGCTTGTCGACTAGCGATGCGGTCTGCGGCGAGTCCCGGCGGCGGAAGGAGGATGTCCCCGGGTGAAGAGGCTCTGCGGTCGTTGAAGAGGCCGCGCCACCCCGTGGATCCCGGCTCCGGCTCGGACTCCGGCTCCAGCTCCGGCTCGGAATCCGACGGCGATTTCGTCAGGTGCCGCGCATCTGATTTCGAGCTTTTCCTCTTCGATTCGGTGGTTCACATTTCTAATTCCTTCTCGGTTTAATTCCGTGATGGCTCCTTTTGTGGCGGGCGCAGTGACTTGAGGCAGATCGCGTGCCTGCTGCGGTTGATCAAGGGTGGGCCAACAAGGATCGCCAGAAGATGTGCGAGCAGATCATCGCCAGGTGCGGAGAACAATATCCTTTCGGTTGAACCTCTGAATTTACTCTTATCGCGGTATGTGCTAGCGTGCAAAAAAATTGGGATATGCGTATATGCTACCCTGGCGGCTTCTTCTGATGCATTTCGTGCTCGCCCATTTGTTCGGAGAGACTTACAGTTCATGGTCACTGGGAGGGATGTGCAACAAATAAACGTTGCACGTATGCAATCCTGCAATGTGTTCAGTCGGCTGATTATATGTGATTAATGCAGGAACTAGGTTCGTTTGGTGGTACCTGTCAGTTTTTGCATATTATGCGGAGCGATATGCACTGTGGGTGGTGTGAGGAAAATGGGCATATTAATTTGATGGGTTCCCGGATTCATGTTTTGTATGTCATGGCGTGGCTTTGTTCGGGTGAGTTGATTTTCAGAACTACGGCTGGCCTGAACATTTCTATAAACTTTTCAGAACTATTACAAGGACCCTAGTTATTCCACATCTAAGTGACTCAATCAAGCATAAAAAGAAGAAGGAAAAGGAAAAAAAAATACCCACACGAATCTCCGCGTAAAATTAATAACATAGGACTTAGATGTGCAATACTTATGGCACATCTAGATATGCTTTTGGAAAATTGTACAAAGAATTATTTACACAGGCATCGGGGAGAAAAAGCAGCCAAAAATTATAACATGTGGTCTAAAGGGACTCCATTGACTGTACTGTGAAGTTTGAAGAGCATAATGTTGCTGATCATTATTCTTTTACCTTTTCCTTACACCGTTTATTCCTTTACTTTTCTCAACCTGACAGTGTTGCAGCCAATATTCAGACTATGCTTGAAGATACCAAGTCCAAGTTTGAGAAGGAAAGGTAATCCACTTGCTTGTGAACTGTGAAACAATACCTGCATGTACAATTACGCCTGAAACCATTTTTGTCCGACAGAAAACTTGTTCGTTTTTATTTAGAACGCAGTGTAACTGTTATATTTGCATGTGCAGGCAGAACTTGCTGAAAGTATTGTCAGGCACTTCGAAAGAGGTATTCAGTTTAGAGTTCTTTCGGATTGTCGACTAACTTACTGATTTGCCTAAGATTGAATTATGGCATGTGATTTGCACTATTAGCAGTGTGAAAGTTCATTGAACGAAGAGTACACTAAGCTTCAGGAAACATATGAAATGTTCTGTGAAGAAAATGATGCACACTTACAAACCTTCAAAGGTATGGCAAATAAGAGCTGGTTGTCATTTTCACAAGTATATCATGTGCTTCTATCCAGATTTATCTAGGATTTTAGGGCGTTGTGCCATGTGATGTCATTTGGTCTAATCAGCCAGTACGTATGAACTGTGATTCTTATCTTTGGAAAAATATATTGAGGAATGAACTATACCTGGTTTTGATGCAAACAGAATCTACATGACACTTGTATTCATGTGTTATTTCTAAATACGCATTGCTTGGCTGCTGCTTGTCAGCGACTCGGGCATTATTTGGATGATGCTCCCATACAAGACGTTCAGATCTTACTGATTCTGCAAAAATATTTGGCTCTTATTTGACTTGTTAAATGTCCTGTTACGCAGACCTATTCTCACAAGTTGAAGTTGAGAAAAAGAAACTGCTTGAGCAGTATCAATATCAGAGTAAGTGACTAGAGGATCCATCATTTCTCTCGGACGGAAATATGCTGTTCTTACACTCAAATCCTTGAAACAGGGGAGGAGACGGCTACATTGTCTGAACTTGGTGACACCTTCTCAGAGAAGATAACAAATGCCAAACCATCACCGAAAAGGATGAAGCAGGTGTGGCAAAATTCACAACTGCTTGCATTTCTTAGACTTCATTTTTAGCTACCCCGTCACGCCTAAAGCTGACTGACCAGCCAATTCTTTTTGTTCCATGGCTTGAAACACCTCTTCCTGCAAAATACTGCATTCTTTTTTCGCAGGATGACAAGTCTTTCATCATCTTCCGCAAGTCGATTGGTTCATATCTCGAGTGCGCATCCGACGATGATTTTGACCTTGATGATGGGTGACGCTGCTTCTCTTCTTGTCCGGCATACTAATCGTTTGAAGCGACACATAGAAAAGGATCTCATTATTTTTCTCTTATTTTCATGTTTTCTCCTTTAACCAACATCTTAGAGCATCTTAAGGACCTCATGTATAGCCTATAGGTGAGAAGGCTTCACAGTTTGTATTAGGTACATTGCCTCGGACTCTTTTTTTACATAGGTACATGCCTCGGACTCGTGAAAAGGAAGTGTATCATAAATTTGTCTGCAATGTTGGATTGGCTTGAGAGGTTGGTGTAAAGCCCCAGATTTAAAACTAGCTTCGACCCAACCTTGTGTTGGATCGGCGAAGGCCATTTACATGTAGCAATTCTTATGTTTTAATCCTCACTTCTCGCAAAACACTAACCAGAGTTTTCAATGGAACACGTGGGTTTATATGGTAGTAGTATGCAATCACTTGAACGCTAACCAGAGTTTTCAACGGAACGCTAGGTATGCAATCAGTTGAACTAGCAAGTTGGGACTATCCCTGCTATGCTGACACATCCAGAGAAAGACAGGATAATTTTCCAGGATATTTAAGTTACTAATTCAAGCCACGGCCCTACAATACAAAAGGCTCTTATTGAAAATTTTGTAAGGATTGAACTAGCCTAAAATTAGTGCGCCAGGCCTGCAAATTGCAAAACGTGATGAGCTAATACAAAATGAACTTTTTCCTTTTGTGGCAATGAACTTGAAGCACTAAACTCCTCATATGTCTTGGACATCGACACTCAAAAACTGGAAGTGGGCTGCGGCTTGCAACCCTATCTAAAATACCTTTTGAAAATCTCCTAAGAAGCCCTTAAAATGGAGATTTGTCGCTGTAACATGATCATAAGGATTATAATACTCCAAATGACGTTGAGCATGAACATAAACTTTACAATGTCAATAAATTGACTACTTCCTGAGGTCAAGTTCCACAGACCCTAGGTCCTCCATGTTCAAGTATGCGACATCGATGCCATCTGTTTCACAAAATAAAACGGTCACAGTCCAACCATCCAACTCTCAGATTCGGAGGTTAGATCACACTTCAACCAGATGGTACAGGCACTTACGAGATTAGTACCAACGCTGTGCTTAAAGAGCACCGTTAATATTCAGCCATTTTCAGAACACATCGTTCCAATTGACGCTATAAATTTTAGATATGTAGTTTGTCATGCCAGACAGAATGACGCTGTCCATGGTCTCCAACATCTTGCGATTGCAGTTCAGATTCTCCTGCTGCTGCTCTGCTAGCGATTTCTCCTCATCTAGTTCATGCTACAAGGTCCGAAAAACAATAAGCGTCAGAGAATGCTTGCATAAATCCACTAATTACTAAGTAATCCACGAATAAAGCACAGAACAGGAACACACATGTGAAAGATGATTGCCATTGAATTTCAGACCTGAGGGTCTACAAAATGGATTTTACCTCAATTAGTGCAAAGTTCTCCACCTCATGTCTCCTGGAGAGTATCTTCGATTTTTTTAGAATCTCATAATCAGGATCTCTGTGGCCCACCCAGCGAAATTTTAACTTACTCCCAGGTCTCCGGGGGCGATCATTGAACATCTCAGCTGTAGCATGCTTCGCCCTAACAGGCCTTGGAATTCCAGAGATCATAAAAGGGAAGTCATGCAGCATACTGACCACAACTTCAGCATCCTTCTCAGTTTCCATCTCTACTAATGCAGATTGAGGAATATTGTAGGGAATGGTGTAGTTCACAACAAAACTAACCTTTCTGATACTACAAAATTGACTCAAAGCTGTTTTTATGACTGCCTCTGTAGCCTGGTGAGACAAGTTGTCAAGGTATACAGTTCGTTTGACCTTCTCCTCGAACTCCTGATACTGTTTTATGGCTTCCAACTCTGCAGTACTCTTACTTTGATTAGCAGCCTGGCCATCAGAAGTGGAAAGCTTCATTACAGATGTATTCTGGCTGGTGCCGGTAGCCTGCACTGCAGAGCTGCGCGGCTTCTTGCGTGGGGTGATTTTCTTAGCTGGGTCAGTTGATCTTTTGCTTGGGGCCTTGTTTCTAGCCACATCAGACAGCTTCTTGGTGGGAATGGTGTGGTTAGCATTTTCAAACACATCAGATTTTATAGCAGTGGTTGACAGGGTCCTGCTTGGGTTGCTCTTAACCTCTGTAGCCTTGTGAGAGAGGTTGTCAAGATATACAGTTTCCTTCATCTTCTCCTCCAACTCTTGATGCTCCTTTATGACCTCCATGTTTGCAGCACTGGTACTTTGCTCCACAGCCTGGTCAACATAAGCAGAAAGCTTCATTCCAGGGGTCTTCCCGCTGGTACCAGTAGCTTGTACTGAAGAGGTACACAAACTCTTGTGTGGGGCATTTTTGTTAGCTCGATAAGTTGGTCTATTGCTTGGGCCATTGTTTTTAGCCTCACCAGACAGCATCTTGCTGGGAATGGGATGATTAGCTTCTTCAAACACCTCCTTAGACTTCACAGCGGTGATCGTTTGATTCCAGCTTGGGTTGTTACCCTCTTCATCTGCTACTTTATTGTCAGTATTGTAGAGCAGTTTCTTTCTTGGGGAGTTGCTATGTTCCTCCTCACCCTGCTTTCTAGTTGTTGTAAGGCTCTTGCTTGGGCTGTTGTCAATATGATCTTTAGGCAATTCCTGAAGTTGAAGATGAAGCATCATGCTCGAGATGTTGTTCACCTCTTCACACAGTCCATGTTGAGCAGCGTAACTGCTTGGATCACTTCCTTGCTCTTCAGCAGTGACTCTTAGGTTCATGCTCAGGATATTGTCATTTGCCTCATCCGGTAGTTTGTTGCCTGAGGTATCGCTCTCAGACTCAGCGGACCGTGTCTTGCTAAAGGTGTTGCTATTGGCCCCATTACAGTGTCCCACTCTTGGGGAGTGGCTGCTTGCCTCACCATGTGCTGGAGTGGTCATCAGATTCTTGCCTTGGTTGTCAGTAATCAATTTGTTGTCCTCAGGATACTGTTTTATGGAATCCAAATCTGCAGCACTCTTACTTTGATTAACAGCCTGGCCATCAGAAATGGGAAGCTTCATTCCAAATGCATTCTGGCTGGTATCAGTAGTCTGTAATGCAGAGGTGCGTGGCTTCTTGCGTGGGGTTCTTTTCTTAGCTGGATCAGTTGATCTATTGCTTGGGGCCTTGTTTCTTGCCACATCAGAAAGCTTCTTGCTAGGAATGGTGTGGTTAGCATTTTCAAACATCTCACACTCCATAGCAGTGGTTGATAGGGTCCTGCTTGGGTTGCTCTTAACCTCTGTAGCTTGGTGAGAGAGGTTGTCAAGATTGACAAGAAATACAGTTCGCTTGATCTTCTCCTCAAACTCTTGAAACTCCTTTGTGACCTCTGTGTTCGCAGCATTGGTATTTTGCTCCACAGCCTGGCAAACGGAAGCAGAAAGCTTCATTCCCGGGGTGTTCCGGCTGGTACCAGTAGCCTGTACTGAAGAGGTAGGCAGCCTCTTGTGTGGGGAAATTTGTTTGGCTGGATCAGTTGGTGAATTGCTTGGGGAATTGTTTTCAACCTTCTTGGTGGGAATGTGGTGGTGAGCTTCTTCAACAACATCCTCATACTTCCCAGCGGTGATTGTGAGGTTCCAGCTTCTGTTGTTACCCTCTTCATCTTCTTTGTTGTCAGTATCATATTGCAGTTTCCTTCTTGGGGAGTTGTTATGTTCCTCATCATTCTGCATTCCGGGGGTTATATCGTTCTTGCTTGGGCTGTTGTCTATATGATTTTCAGGTAATTCCTGAAGTGGTAGAGGAAGTATCATGCTCAAGATATTGTTGTTGGCCTCTTCACATGGTCCATGTTCAACAGCATAACAGTTTGCATCGCTTGCTTGCTCTTCATCATCAACTCTTAGGTTCTTGCTCAGGGTGCTGTAAGTTGCCTCATCCGGGTGTTTATGGCCTGAGGTATCGCTCTCAGATTCAGCAGACAGTGTCTTGCTCAGGGTGTTCCTACTGCCCTCATTACACAGTCCCATTCTTGGGGAGTGGCTGCTTGCCTCACCCTGTACTGGAGAAGTTATCAGATTCTTGCCTGGTAGAGGAAGTATCGTGCTTAAGATATTGTTGTTGGCCTCTTCATACGGTCCCTGTTTAGCCGCATAACAGTTTGCATCACTTCCTTGCTCTTTATCATCGACTTTTAGGTTCTTGCTCAGGGTGCTGTAAGTTGCCTCATCTGGTTGTTTGTTGCCTGAGGTATCACTCTCAGGTTTAGCAGACAGTGTCTTGCTCAGGGTGTTGCTACTGCCCTCATTACACAGTCCCATTCTTGGGGAATGGCTGCTTGCCTCACCCAGTACTGGAGTAGTTATCAGATTCTTTCCTGGGCTGTCGGTACTCATTTCAGGTACTTCCTTACTTCCGGTTTTGTTAATCCTAGGTACTTTCTTGCTCAGGGTGAGGGAGGCGTCAGGCAACTTCTTCCTCGGTGGTAAACGTATACGTATGATGTTCCATGGACGGTCTCCCTTCCTGTCATCAGTTTCGTTGTTGATTTCAGCAGCCTGGTTTTCTGAGGCAGACATTCCCTTAGACACACAAGAAACTCCTGCAGGTTGTGAATAAAATGGCGTGATGAGAATGAACAAGAAAAGTGCTTATAACATCATATGCTGACCATTCGAAATAGAAATCCATTCGAGAGAAAAAATATCACATGCTGACTTAATTCACGCTACAATGTAACTGGCCTAACATAGTAACATAGATGTAGCCCTGGCTTGCAAACGCACTGCATTAAAACGTCCATGCTAGATGCTAGCCATAGACCAAATCCGAGATGCTTCCAACAGTGTCCCTAAAGCAATTTGGTGACCTGATACATGTTATGCAGAGACAGAAATGCAGATTCACCATTTCACAGAAAATGGTGACACGAGCTGCGGCTATATATATACACAATAAATACAAAATAATGCATATAAAATAATATATTTTCAAGTATATGTT